TGAGGTAATACATAAGGTGTAGAGAAGGCTTAAGTGATGTGATAGCGAAGGTGTAGCGACGGTCTCATTGAGAATTCTTCGTTATCATTAGTGAAGGAGTAAGGAAGGTCTACTTATTTTTTTAACTGAGTAGAGAAGGTCTAATCACGGACCATTTGAAGAACTATTCATCATCAACATCGAAGGACTAGTTATGGTAATATTTTCCTTGTTATAGAAAAAATTCAAATATATCAAAAAGATTCTCTTTATTTTTTTACTTCCATTTCTAAAAATAAAAAATCCAAAAAGATTTTCTTTATTTTTTTATCCTTTATTTCACAAAATCAAAAACACAAAAAGATATTTTTATTATTGTCTTTTATTTCAAAATTCAAAAATACAAAATATTTTCTTTATTATTGATTTCTTTATCTTGATCGAGAAGTTCATTGTAGCACATGTTCATAAGCATGCACAAGCGAAGCTCAACAGGGATCATGAAACATTCACAACTCACCGGCTCGTTGTCACAACTCAAAATTTTAAACCTAGAAAATCCTAAATCCTAACCTAACACTAGTGAATCTACATTGCACTCCTTGTTGCAATGTGTCCACATTAACTCTAAAGGCCTGTTTATAAGCTATTAACTAAGCTTGGATTGATAACTAAGTTGGTTTAGGGTAGCATAAAGTAATATAAATCAAAGTGTTAAGGGTTAAAACATAAATATTCATCATTTATTTGTGAATTCGGTCAAGGAAATCAAAAGCAACAAGAATTCGGTTTATGGAATCAAATTCCAAGCATCAAAATAGAATTCTCCTTAAGAAGGAAAAGCAAAAACCAAGTTCTCTAAATGTTGTAAGCTAGGACCAAATTTTCCTTCTTCATTTGACTAGAAACGGATTTCATCCCAAGATGTCACAATTTAGGACCAAATTCATGGAGAATTCGGTCATGAAGGATCGAATTCACAAAGATAAGGTCTATTAAGGACCGAAATCTCACCCCATATCTAGATATTCTTGAAAGTTGTTTGGCCAATTTAGCTTCTCAATATGATAAGATGTAGTTTCCAATGAAAACATCACATTCACCGCCTTATGAACTTCCATCATACTTAAGATACATAATAGAGATCATTTGTTGCATTTCTCACATTCAGTAAACTATTTTCTCACAATTCTCTCTCAAATTATCAAACCCATTTCCTCCATCCTTTCTATTTCAAACTCCATGAGATCTTTAAATTAACATAGTTACAAGATTAAGTAAGTTTTCTTCATTTTGTGTTTATTCAACACTTCAAGCAATTAGTTTATTCTAATTCACACAAAATCGTGTGTTAAAACACCCGTAGGATACGATCTCCTTTCCGTAGTATAGCCGAAGGTCACCACTTTCATCTCGATATCTAGTCAAAACCGCACATAAGGTGAGGTCATACCCCCCATATTTTTCCAAGCTTTTTCAATGTTTTAAGGGGAGAATACAAGTCAAACACAAGAAATATCGTGTTTAAAAATATAATTTTGTTTATTATATTTTGTTACCGTAAAATTTGTTAAAACATGAAAATAAACTTATAAACTATAATAAGTATAGTTTATGGATCGTATGAACTATTTTACAAAGCCCAGATTAAAACATGGAAATACACTTATAAACTATAATGGGTATAGCTTATGGAACAAAGGAATTACTTTACAAAGTTACATGTTATTTACTAAAATGTTTTTCACTTTATGTAAACTAGTTAATAAAAGATTTTGAACCACTTGATGTATCAAATATGGTACCTGTTAAAATCCTAATTATAACCAGAGTCTCCTAGAGGGGGAGCGTGAGTTTGTGAATAGATCTACACGGGACTGACATCCCGCATCTGAGCTACTTGCTACAGCTAGGCTGGAGGTGACAAACGTCATAAATTTTACGATGCCTGAAGAACTTAGTATAGACCAATAGTCATATTAGTATGGTTATAATGAATATTCACAATAAGTATTAACTAATTATTTACATAAAGATATTCTATTACACAATCAAAAGGCAAATAAATCAGTGATTACTTAGTACTTACATCAAGGTTATACAAAATTAATGTCTAATAAACAATGGAGTGTGTGATTTCCGCCTTATTTCCTGTTCCTTGTTTGGTTGTGGGCTTAGGGCAGATTCACCCAATCGATTGTCTATTCGATCTTTGATTTTATATAACTCGTATGTACTAAGTAATCGTATGAGGGTATTAACTTCATATCTAGTTTACAGTGCGAACACGTCTTCAGTTAGTTTTACTTATGAATAAAAATACGTATCATTAAATTAAGTATGACAATAATACTTGTACTTTTCATTCTCTATAAATTTCAAAACTACAAATCGGTTTTATGGGAAAATAAAGGATTTTCCCGGATAAACATTGTTATTTTTACAAGCAAACATAATTACAAAAGGTTCAACAATTATTTACAAAATAGTATAACATAAAGGACCCTTAATTGTTAATTCTATGGTTCATTAGTTTATAAATCAGGGTATTATATAAATAATATCTGATAGGCAGTGGAATGTGTGATTTCCGCCTTACTTCATGTTCCTTGTTTGGTTGTGGGCTTAGGGCAGATCCACACATTCGACTGTCCATTCGATATTAGTTATTATATAACTAGTATAAACTAAGTAATCATAGAAGTATCGCATTCGTCACTTCTAAACAGATCATTATTGTTAACTCTATAATTACCTAGTGAAAACATTAGGGCTATATATAATGAAGATCCGATAAGCAGTGGAATGTGTGATTTCCGCCTTTCTTCCTGTTCCTTGTTTGGTTGTGGGATTAGGGAAGATCCACACATTCAACTGTCCATTCAATCTGAATTATATATAACTTGTATTTATTAAGTAATTGTAGAAGGAACTGGTATAATCATATTACTTATCTTTACTTACTAAGAAAATATAGGATTTTCTGGAGGAACATGAAAACTTTTCCAAAGAATAAAGAGTATACTTTTTATAACAAAATACTTATGAACTCACCAACTTTAATGTTGACACTTTTTCAAACAACTTGTATTCTCAGGAACGTTAGTAAATAGGTACCCTCTCAGGTGTTGCGAAGACGGAGCTTTACATCTTATATTTTGCTAGAGTTTTAATGTAAATCAAGTAATGTTTTGAACACAATGTAAAATTTATATTATTAATATAATGGTTGTTGTTGCTTTGATTACTATTATACAATTGGTGTGATACTTAAACATAACATCCTCCGCCCCCCCCCCCCCCCTAAAATTTCCGCCATTCCGGTTTAGGGGTGTGACACTGGTTAAGTGTCCCTAGAAGCGTGTTGCAGCATGTTGTCCAAAGCCTCATTGACTCATTGTTTGCAAAGCCTTAACGAAAAATTTTCTTTTAAAAATTTCTTCCCAATAGGTTGTATTAACAATTGAGCTACTTTTCACCTCTTATTTTGAGTTAAGTGATGACTACTTGGTCACAATGATTCGTAGAGGTAGAATGGATTTTCTTAACCAATATTTTTCACCCTAAAGTTCTTACACTTGAACACACAATAACGCATATCCCAAGACATATCTAGTAAAAAGCAACTACAATGTAGGTAGGTAAAAAATTCCATGTTTATGATCCTAAATCATTTTTCCATGATGAGGGTGAGACCCAAGAAACCTTACACCTTAATGAATTGATGGTGAACAAATTATTTTTCAATATTTATACAATGAAACTTTTTGTTTCAAAGTACCATTTCGAATTTTCAATCTCATTTTCATTTCTTATGCGTGATCTTAATGAAATGCACTAATCCTAAGTCATTTCTTCCGAATATATCCAGTTCTTTAATTGTCTTTATGAAATGAGACTTTCGTCTGAACATTTACTTCGAACTTTAATTACTTAAACATTTCCAAAGCTTACGTGTTGTTGATTACACTGATCACACAAGTATTTTCTAACAATGTTTCACTCTTATCTTAAGTTGCGAAGTTGTTTGAAAATTAAGCCTACCTATGAAGCTTGTTAAAAGAGGCCATTCGATACTTCTCTATAAGTATGCAATTGTAATTCACGGGAAACCACATAAGAACTTTGATTTCTCTCTTGATATCAAAGAAAGAGAATCTTTCCTCGTGATCATATAACTTTATATCAAATTTTATTTGATATAAAACTATCTAAAAAATTCTTATTTTGATTCTATCTTTTCTTTTGAAACACATTGGGACTGAAATCCTAGGTATTACCAACCTATACCAAGATTTCGCAAAGTTTGGATTATGATTTCATTTATTATTCCCATAAGTGAATAAGGTCCGACCTTAATTGTCGAAGATTGGTCCTTGGTAACTAACGAAACTTGGAAACTGTTCAATTCTATTGGTGATGTGGAACTAAAAAGTGTTCAAGTAGAATAAAATGGCAACAAGAGATTGAATTAGAAGTAGTTTTCCTAGATTCTTCAATTACCATCAGAAGGATCGTTTGAAGTTCCTACAAATGAGTAGGTACTTCAGATGTTTCAATTACCATCCGATTTCTATTGTTAGTGCTTTTAATATGTCAAATCTTCCAAGAATATGGAGTTTTTTCTTTAGAATTACTCTTTGATGTTAAACTGGAAGGAGTTTTGGTCTACACAAGCCAAAACTTCAATTCTATTCCATTATGGTTGGTCTTTATTATGGAATGAATGTAGACTATGGTTTGTTATTATAGGGGAAGTTGGCTTTATCTATCAAGTACTCAAAGAAGAGCACTGAGATATCTAGTGCTCGATTCTGGAGTCTTATTTTACACTAAGCTTACAATGAGGTATGTACTCAAGTTCCTGAAGATTTTAAGGTTGCTCAATTCTCACATTGTTATATTCCTAAGTCTGCATTTGATGATCCAATTATTATTTTTTTGTTGTGGGAAGGATTCCTGATGCCATGCTCAACTTAGTGTCTATATCGAATTCATTATTGATACAATACTAAGCTACCATGGATTCTACTACTTTTGGTCCTATCCCAAATAAGGTGACATTTAAAGCCATGGAAGGATCGTCTAAAGGTTATCAAGTTGTCAAAATGAAATCAATATCGAACCCAAAAGTTGTTGTTGATAAAGATATATTTGCAAAGACTTTTTCTGAGAAGTCTAGGAAGAGTGGTTCTAAAACGGCTGAAAAAGATGTTACTAAGAAGTCAGCTAAAGGTGGTTCTGAGAAGCAAGTCCCAATTGTATCTAAAAAGGATGTTAAAGAAGTTGTTAAAGATGTATATGTTCCTGAGATTGATGTTAGGAAGTCAAATAAGTTGAAGATGAATTCTAACTATTCATGAGTTGTTATTAAAGATATTACTGATGAAGAAACACAAACGAGCAGGAAACGTAAAACTGTCAGGGTGCTGACACAATTTAAGAAGCTTAAGGCTCAAACAGCCGAAGAGCCTTAAACTAAAGCTATGTTAACATTGAATACTTTTGAAGCAGATCGTGGTAGCGAAGAGACAAAAGATGAAATTTTTAGGAATGATGATGTCACATTTCACAATTCACCTAGAGAGGATGCCACTGTCGAATCGAATATCGAGGAGATAAGGAATCTTGATGTCACTGTAAACGCATCTAATGTGGATACAAACATCAATTTTGGTGAACCAATCATTACTTTGCTTCCTGAGAAAACCAATGTTATTCGACCTTAAGGTTCTATTTCCATGTCTAATATGGATGAGGGTAGATCTTTAAACATCGTTGAGAACTTATCAAATAAGGACTTAAATGTTACTATGGGTGAGGAAAATTCGAGATCTACTATCGAAACTTCAACTATTGCACCACCACCACCTTTTTCACCACCACCAACTTCAACTATCATACAAAAAACAGTTTGTGTTCTTTCTCCTACATTCCAAGGTGTCATCAATCAACCTATCACTTCCTTATTCTCTTTTCAATCAACAGATCAAGAGACGCCGAGTAATGAAGATAAAGAAGAGGATGAAATGGTTGCATTTGATGAGCTTGAGTTTGATCATGAAGAATAAAATGTTGATGACTATTCAATTATGTTAGGAAAGCAATACAAAATCCTAAACTCTAAACTCAACACCATTCTTCAGTTTTTGAATTATAATGCTGGGAAGTCCTCTATGAGTGGTGATGAGGTTGAGTTTATGTTAAAGTCTCAAGAGTTTCAGACAAATACTTTGATAAATGATGTTGTTACAACTATGATGAACGTCTTGCTGCACAATCGAGTTCTTACAAACATGAAGTATAAGAACTTTTGAGAAGCTTGTGAACTCATCGAAAGATTCCATTGAATCCAAGCTCGAGGATTTTTTGAGATGTTTTCAAAAGAGACGAAGTTGGATAAGTTTTGTGTGGGCATTAAGCATAAATTTGATGTTCTTGTGGTAGTAACTCAACCCATGATTCAATATATTTTTGCCTTCAATAAGGAATATGTTGGTCAGATTAAGCTTAAGGATTCGGATGGTAAAGTTTTTACAACAATCGAGAATTCGCTTACTGGTTTTCATGAACGATTATTGAAGTTTTATTTTCTATCAACAACTTCAATATATCAGAGCAAATCTATAATATGGTTTCATCAGTAGGGTCAAGTTTTAAGACATAAATTGCTAATATTCTTGATTTGGTGGAGAGGACAAAGTCAAAGTTGTTGGGAAGGTGTTTCCTACTAAAGTTGCAACTTCATTACCAATAAAAGCCATTATGACATCTTCGACAACAACAATTGTTACTAAAAATGTTGAAGTCGATATGTCTAAGTTGCAATCCAAGAAAGGATTGAACATTAATGAAGGAGGTTCATGTTCTTCAATAGTTAAACATGTTACTTCCGATCCAAAAGATAAAGGAAAAAGTGCTCATGTGGAACCTACAGTTGAGGAAAAGAAGAAGCTTCAAGAGGTCGAGTTTAAAATATTGAAGTAGTTAAACAACATAATAAGGATGAGAGAGAATGACCGATTAGGTCTTAACAAAGTAGATCCTAAAATGGTTTGGTGTTTTTAAACGATTTAAATTGCAACTTTTGCTGAAGTAGATAATTTTGATAAAAGACCAAGAAAAAGCTACGCCACTAAAGATACAGACTCTAATCAACTAGATTTTCCAGTTAATCATTCGATGTTTATCATTCCTCAATTTAAGCTTGTTGAGAATTATAAGGATCCTGACGAGTTTAAAAAGTTGAAGATTTGTTTCCATGCAGTGCTTGGAAATAATGAAGAAGATGTGTCGTCTCTGGTGAAGATTGTCAAAATTATAGCGATAACTCCTTATAATTTTTTTCGAAGGAGTCTTGCAAAATTATCAATATGGTGTTGTATGAGCTAACAACATTTTATTTTACTTCACCATTTCTAACTTTCCTTTAATGAATCTGAATGATCACATCATGATTACGAAGATCTTGGGAGATTTAAGTAAATCCTAAATTCAACACAAAGCTTCGTACATCATTGGATATGGTCACATCAAAAGCATTTTGTACTATTATTATGCTTATCTAGCATTGAGGAATATTGATATCTCCATTGTCATCAACAAGAAGTAGAAAGTTCCTAAGGCTTTGTTAAAAGGAAAATTAAAGATTGATTATGAAGATGGAGAATTTTTCAATCAACCTCTGGGGGTTACTTTCCAAGCCAAGAATAAAAATGGAGGGAAAAAGAAATACTTGTTCCATACTGATGATGTAGAAAGACATTATAATCAGCATCTTTCATGTATCCTTCTTCGTATCAACAATTGTGTAACATCCTAAAAATCACGATAAATTTTTATTTTCCAATTAAAGAAAAGTCATTGTTTCAACTAAAACCCAAGTCATAAAGCCAAGTATTAGATACAATTATCCCAAAATCAGAGTATCATAAAGTCTCCAAAACATATCACTGAAGGATGTGTACGATCATGCATTCGCCTTAACCATGTCTTCAGAAGTACATGAAACCATAACAATCAAATTGTAAGCCAAGCTTACTAAGTTCCCCTAAAGTACTACACACAAACAAACAGATAACAACATGCATATATGAGCCTTTAGCCTGACTAGACCGTCTCGCAAGGCCTATAGCCTATATGCACCGATCTCTAGGCCTTCGGTGTGACTGGACCGTCTCACATGCCTTCAGTCTATCTGGGCTGCCTAGGTGTCTTTTCCTTCAGAACAAAGCAAGACCTCCTCAACCCAATAAACCACAACATGTCAACATACACAATAACAGTCAATAACCATAAAGTACAAGTAATCATACATATCTACCAATCTAACACATAATCAGTGAACACAGGTAATCATATAGATCTACCAGTCTATCATAAAATCAGCATAACATCAATCAAATATTCTAGGATACATAATTCAATAGGCACAAATTGATGCCTTCAAGCCACAAGTACAGTGAAGAAAACTCACCTCACAGACTGAAATGTAGTTTAACAGATCATTGCTCCAACTACTAACTCTACCAGTCACATATATAATAAACAAGGACCTAATCTTAAATTACTATTCGACATTACCCAACATGACCTATAGTAAAACTAGGTCAAATTCAACGGTTAAAGTCGAAAGTCAATCCAGTTGGTCGCCACGTGATGCCCATCCTTTGCCACGTTGTGGCCACTAAATGAAAAAACAGACAAGTCCTAGCCTAGTCGCCACATCGTGGAGGCCTAGGCCATGCCATGGGCACTGGGTTCCTAACAACTTAATGGGTTAAGCCATCTTTCTTCGATTATAAGGGCTCCAAAGCTCAATTCTGGTCCATACCTTGGTCTAAGTGAATAAAGTTTCCAACTCTATCCATTTAGACTCTCCAAGATGTAAGGGTTTCACTCTTAGATACAAAAAGGGAAAAACACTACTTGGCTTAATTCATTAAGCACTTAATCTTCGACACTTCTAGTTCAACTCTTCTAAAAATAATTCTATCATCATAAAACAACAAAAAAAACCCTTACATTCCATACATGCATGTCCAATGCATGTTTTGGGCTATTATTAGGTTAAAATGAGGGTTTTTGACCAAAAATCCATGCATGATACCAAAACTCACTACAAATCTAGATACAAAGCACCACACAACCTAAATGGAATGGAGATTCATAAAGTTGAAAACTTTATGAAATATCACCACTCCAACAATCAAGAACATGAAGATTTAGGGACAAAACTCAAGATCTAGCAACCTATCATGATCAAAATCGAGTCGTGGACACTTACAAAGGTACAAAAGAATGCTACCATAAAGCAGGAGGTCTTGCTTGCTACATCTTAGTTCACTTATTCTTCTTTTCTCCTTGAGTGGCTTCAAGAACACCAAAACAAGGCTTAAACAAAGGAGGATCAGATTAGAGTTTTTTCTCAGATCTCAAAGTAGCTATTAGAGGCTAAAGATGAGCAAATCCTAGCCTTCTCATTCCTTTAAATAGGGAGCCAAACCCAGAAATATGGTTTTTTGATTTGCTAGATATCACGCCGTAGCGGCTTAAATTGAACCGGCAATGCTTCTTGATTTTCCATGTTGTGGTGCCTTCCCTCACGTAGTGACAAAAATTGGAATTTGAATTACTTCAGGATCAAGGTGTTACAAATTGCAAGAAGAATACAAATGAAGACAGAGTATAGATAAGGAAGATCATTGTCTAGTATATGTGTAACGACCTAAAAATCACGACTAAAAATTTCTTTTAAACATTACTAAAACCATATTTATAAAACCGTATCATAAGTCATAACATAATTTTTGAGTATAAATTCAAAACATAATCTCATTATCAGATTAAAACATTCCTAGGCTAACTGACTATGGTGTGTGCACTGCAACCTCTCCAAGCTCCTCCTTTTGAAAACTAAGTACCTAAAACCACAACTGAAAACCGTAAGCACGAAGCTTAGCGAGCTCCCCCAAACTAGCACATACCATACACAACATATACACACATATTGGGCCTTGCCCACTACATCGGACCGAAGTCTAGAAACTGCATCGGACCGAAGTCCGGAACTAACTAGGGCCTTGCCCTCTGCATCGGACAAAAGTCTGGAAACTACATCGGACCGAAGTCCGAAACTGACTGGGACCTTGTCCCCTGCATTAGACCGAAGTCTGGAACTAACTACATCGGACCGAAGTCCGGAAACTGACTGAGTATAACATAGCATGGCATAAACATATCAACTAGCATGAACAAATAAACTGCACACTGCATCGGGCCGTAGCACGAAACACATAACACATAAATCCTGTCTGAGCCACGAAGGCATCAAACATACTAAAAACTGCATCGGGCCGAAGTCCGGAAACTACTACTAGCTAAACGGGTCGGCATTGTGGCCTTAGACCCGTTCCTACTGGAAGAAAAATCACCTGGTACTGCTGAACTTGCTGATAACCCTCTGGCTGCTAACCGAGAACCTTCTGAGCCGCTGCTCCTCTAGCTCTCTGAGCTACCAATATCAAAATGATACTTAGTCTGACAGTCCTTCAAAAGTCAACTAAGTCAACTCTGGTCAAAAGTCAAAGTCCTGGTGACAGTCAACCTTCCAGGTTGACCCACCGAGTCAGACCATGACTCGCCGAGTCTACTGATTTCCGAGTCCTGACCTGTCCACTCACTAGGTCCCCACTCAACTCACTGATCAGAGTCTTAACTCGAAGGGTTTGGGGTTTCGCGACTTGACTCGCCGAGTCCAAGGAAATCTTCAACAGACTCCTCGAGTTGTTCATCCAACTCGTTGAGTTCATCTCCATCTTCATACTACTCGTCGAGTCCACTCGAAGGACTCGTCGGGTCTATTCAGTACTTCATATATTCAGAGGCTTTTGAGTCATGCATGGACTACAAACTGTAGATCCACTGTTCTAAAGCCTATTCCTTACGTAAAGTGGCAAACTTTACGTGTAACTAAGGAGATTTAGGCTCAAAACACTATAAACTAGGGTTTAAGATAAAGGGGTTTAACAATCAACCCACAGACTGATGCTTTGTGATTCTCTAGACCAAG